TTGAAACAGTTCAAGTGCCCTCACTTCATTTTAAAGTTGTTTTTAAGCCTTTTATTTGATTTTGATTTAACTGTTTTGAGCTCAAAATGCATTGAAACAGCTTCAAAATGAAACACCCTTAGAAATTTCACACAGTCCTACTAAGTATAAGAAGCTTATTAAATAATAAACAAAGATAATAAACAGAAACAAATTCCTCATCTGTAAAATTGTCTGCTTCTGTATTTGTTTTAAATTTGGTGAAATGCATTGTTTTCTTTTCTATTTGTCATCTTCATCTTCTTCTTCCTCATCATTGTCATCTTCCAGCAATTAGATGGTAAAATCCAGTAAGATTCAGTGTAAAATCCTGTTGCAGTTCCAACAAGGTTGTGTAGTTCTTATTAAGAGGTAGATGAGCAAAGCAAACCAGAAGTATGCATACAGTATTGACTTGGCCTAGCTATACTGAGGTATAAACTTGCCACTTCTTGTCCCTTTTAGGAGTTTAGCTGAATTTTAGTGATCTCTTTATCAAAAGTGGGAGTATGTATTTTCAACAAAGATACTACGTCTCTTGCCTGGAGATTACCAGTTGTTGCTAATTTTAGGCAGAGGATTAGCAACCAGGTTTTGCACCCTGGGCTGTAACAGCAAAGGTGGTGGCAGCTGCTGTTCTTACACTCTTTTAAGGGAGAGCCTGGGCCTGGTGTCCTTGTCATCTACTCCAAGTTATGCTACTGATTTTGAATTTCTCATCCCTAGATTTTGTAATGTTTGATCCATGCTACAAATGTGTATTCTTTACCATATGTCAATCCAGAGGACTAAAATCAAACGATTGTAGCCTGAATTAACCTTTAGGGAGTTTCTGAACAGCATTTTCAAACACTTACTATGTGGGTATATGTACCACATGTGGGTATACATCCTCCAAATATTAGCTTAATAGTACTAAATACATCTTCATTTATTATCTAAGACGGATGTAAATAACTTAGATAACTTGATTTAAAGAGCAGATGTATCAATCCACTGTCACGCAGCCACATTCAGTACACAATTTATAAATCATTGCATAATTGAAATTACTGGCAAAGTTACCAGTCACTATAGGAGATCCAGGAGCATATTTTGTGTTTTCTGTATTCACAAATTATTAATCATATTTAATGCATTTTAAGTGAAGTTTTGTCATGGGTTGTTTGTATTGTGCCACTTCAGTTTTGCAATAATGTAGAAATTAAAGGTCGGAGGTACAGTATAAACTCATTCACCCATTTTTCCCTCCAATCATTTCAGATCCTAAATTACTTCTTTCTTCAACAACAGTTCCAGCCTCTGATTTTACCCATTTTGGTGGCAGTAGTTATTCAATAATCCAGTCCAAGATGACATGGGAAGAGGCAAGAAAAAACTGCAAGAACAAATCTTCAGAACTTGCTAGTATTTTAGATGCTTATAGTCAGTCATTCCTATGGCTACAGATACTCAAGTACGGAGAACCTGTATGGATTGGTCTTAACAGTGAGGTGGTAAGAACAATGAATATATGTAAGACTGATTATGATAAATATCAAAATACACTTGCATTTTCTATATATAAATGCCAGTTGCCTTCATTAGGAAGGTGTGCTATCTAAATGACAGCTGCTGAAAGCAGTATTCTGAATGAAATCACAAGAAGCATGAATGGTATTCTAGTATTCCTATTACAGTTCTATAGCAAGCACACAAATTGGATATGAGGACCCACAGATAAGGTCATGGTGGACCCATCTACACATGTGCTTGATCAGGGATAAATGTACTCACGAGTAAACTCTCCTGGGCAGGTATCTACAAATGCAGGGAAGGGGAAGCAGATTTTCTGCTAATGGCAGCTAAATACTTTCAATTCCTGGGGCCTTGCAGTGGGCCCCTGCTGCCACCAGTGGAGCTCTAGGCTCCCCTTGGGTTCTAGCCCACGGTCTGACAGGGAGCACTGGGCCAGGAGACAGCTCTCTCTTGGCTGGGGCTGGGACATTACACTCTGTCCCAAGGGGCTGCCTGTTGCTGGGGCAGAGACAATGTTCCCCTGCCCCAGCAGCAAGTTTCTGGCCCCGCGTCCTGACCAGGGGCAGGGGACTTGGAAACAGCTGAAGGTCCCAGGTCCCTGCCCCAATCTGCCAGTGGGGCAGCTAGCTCACTGCTAGCTGCCCCAGTGGCAGATGAGGTAGGGGCCTGGGACCTACACTACCCTGCAGCTCTTCCCAAGCCCCATGCCTTGATCACCATGGGGCTGGGACCTGCCTCTGACAAGGACAATTCTCAGCCCCACTCCATTGTGGGGTGCAGTGTGGGGAGCCTGTTCCCTGCTCAGCTACATGAGTGCAGAAATGGGCAGGGAACAGGTTGGGGAGCTGGCGCTGGGAGATAAGGGTCTTCTAGGCCCCCACTCCCCAATCTCAATGGTGAAGCAGGGGCTAGGAGATAAGAATATTCCAGTCCCTGCTCCCCAATTGTGATCTCAGAGCAGGGGGGCTTGGATCTCCATGCTGCTGTGGCAGTGGGCCATAGTCCCCGCCTGGGCTCCAGTGGTGGAGCCTGCCCCAGCAGTAGGCAGCTCATGGGGGCAGGGAGAGATCTCCTGGCCTCTGATGGCCAGTTGACTGGAAGCATATTTCCTCCTGGTCAGACATCTACACAAGTGATACTATGCCATTACTAATCAAAAGTAAATTTGCTACTTGCATTTGCAGGTAGCATATTTACTCATGATTAGTGAGGTTTGCAGCAGTAAGCATGTACATGTGTAGATGCACATGCTTACTGTGCAGTAAACTATACTACTTTGCAGTAAACCATCTTATGTAAATGCACCTGGCGAGAAGCAGTGAAGGAAGAAAGAGAGCTATAGAAACTGTGGGGAAATGTAAGTGTGACTAAGAACCATGAACCGGGATGTACACAGCAGTTTTAAAAGTCTAACTGTCTATTATATGGTTACTTACCATTGAGGTTATTGCAGGTGGGAGAGGGATATTTTATATGATAATTTTAGGCTGTTGAGTACCAAGTAATACTGTCCAAATTAATTAACATTATAATCTAGATTTTTAAATAAAATAGAAATTCAGATTAGGTAGGATGGATTAGGAAGAACTATTCCTTGGCACAGTATCTTGGAACTGACTTTACATTTAATCATCTATGGTTTTTACTATGTGTTAGAGGGTTTACTTCAGCAAACAAAAAAACTCCATGTTAATAAATAATATCTCATATTTAGGCAATAAAAGGGCATGTAAACAGGTGATAATGATAATACATTATACTAGAAATGAGCTTCCCAATTAATTCTGGATATGACCATACCACCATGCCAACTCTGGATCTGCCCTTGGCTTGTACTGTCTTGCAATATCCTCATTATGCCTAATCCATTTATGCTGTCATTTCCTCCAGGGAAGAACTTCCATCATTCAACACAATCTGAATATTGTTTATAGCTATAGTGCCCCCTTACAGGAATGAATAAGTTCTTTCAGATAAAATATTACTCTCCATGTGTCCCAGGAATTCATAAGGAGAAGATTTAAAAGGAGAAATAAACATAGCTTGTGTGATGAAAAGCTCAAATAAGTGTAATTAAAATCGTTTCAGTTATTTTGTGGTGCAAATCATATTAGCTAAATTTAATTATGTTTTCAGATGCCCACATATTACCAATGGACTGATAACTGGGTAATCAAGTATTCTCAATGGGCAAGGGGAGAGCCAAAGACTAAAAGAGCCTGTGTCTATGTAGACATAGATGGGTACTGGAAGACAGCATCCTGTAATAAAAACTTATCTTCAGTCTGCAAACAGTCAGATGGTAAGCAAATAAATGTAACAATTTTAAGAATGTAGTACTTACCATAGGGATTCACATCAGTAATCTCTTTAGTCCAATATTCTGTTTCTCTCCGTGGCTAGTATATAAAGCTTCAGAGGAAAGTCCTTGAAGAATACCCTCCACCTTCCAACCTAACTTTCTATGGTTTTATGATACTATGATTCTTTTGGAGTGTGGGATTCTACTGATGCTTAGTATATGGATTTAAAGACCTTGGCATGTTAAAGTCTCAGTTGGTGAAAATGGGCATAGATCTATTGACTTCAATACAAGTATTCCTGTTCACACCAGCTAATGTGCCCTTTTCCTTCCTAGAGATGTTTTTCATTTTCTTTTAAATTTAATGTACGTATTGCATTTGGTTTCAATGTAGTGTAGATTGGCACTCAGAACTCACAGATTCATTGATGTTCGGAAGGGACCTCAGTAGGTCATCAAGTCCAACCCCCTGGCCTGGGCAGGAAAGAGTCCCTACTCTGGGCAGGAAAGAGCACTGGGGGCAGACAATCCCAGCTAGATGCTTGTCCAGTCTCCTCTTGAAGACCCCCAAGGTAGGGGAGAGCACCATCTCCCTTGGAAGCCCATTCAAGATTCTGGGAGCCCTTACTGTGAAGAAGTTCTTTCTAATGTCCAACCTAAATCTGCTCTCCATCACTTTGTGGCCATTGTTCCTAGTTACTCCAAGGGGTGCCCTAGTAAATAGAGCATCTCCTATTCCCTGATGCCCCCCCCGATGAATTTATAAGCAGCCATAAGATCATCTCTCAGCCTTCTCTTGCAAAAGCTGAAGAGATCTAGGTCTCTCAGTTTCTCCTCGTAGGACCTTGCCTGCAGGCCTCTGACCATACGAGTGGCCCTCCTCTAAACCCCCTCTGGAGTCTTTGCATCCCTCTTGAAGTGCAGCGTCCAAAACTGGATGCAGTACTCCAACTGTGGTCTGACCAGTGCTGCATAGAGGGGAAGCATCACCTCCCTGGACCTGTTCATCATGCATTTGCTAATGCATGATAAAGTGCGGTTAGCCTTGTTAATCACTGCGTCACATTGATGGCTCATGTTCATCTTGGAGTCAACTATGACTCCAAGATCCCTTTCCGCTGCTGTGCTGCTGAAATGGTCATCTCCCAGCCTGTAACTATATTAATGGTTCTTTTTGCCCAGGTGCAGCACTTTGCACTTGTCTTTGTTGAACTGCATCCTATTTCATTCTGCCCATTTTTTTCAATCTGTCCAGATCCACCTGAATCCATTCCCTACCCTCTGGTGCAGGGGTGAGCGATTATTTTGGTCGAAGGGCCGCTTACCAAGTTGTGGCAAGCTGTTGAGGGCCATATGGGTACCCCACCCCTTGACAGGTGCCCTGCTCCCTGGTCACCATCTTGGGACCAATGTCCCAGGGCCAGCACTGGCAGGGCCCAGAGCAGGGCACAGGCTGGCAGGGGTCTGTGGAGCCAGGCTAGGCTGCACCAGTAGGGAGAGGGGGGAGCTAGCCTGGCTCTATAGAGCTCCTGCCAGCTGGGACCGTGTACTCCTGCCACCATGCTCTGGGCTCTGCTGGCACTGGCCCTGGGACATGGGTGCGGGCCCTGTGCACCCTCTCACTCACAATGCCTCCCCAGCCCTGTGGTACAGGCAGGGGGTAGCGTGCAGCCCTGACCCCCTGCTTGCTGGCAGGGAAGGAGCTGGTATTGAGCGTGGGGGAGGGGGGTGGGAAGCGGCCCCTCACCCACTCCATGGCCAGAGCTCCCTGCTGCAGCTGCTCGCAGCCTGCCCAGGGCTGTCCTGATCAGGCTCAGGCAGCCCCACGTGAGCTGCAAGCGGCTGCAGCGTGGAGTGCCAGCCACTGCCAGGGGAGGGGCCACCTTCCTCCCCCCACCACACTCAGCACCAGCTTGTAACCCACCCCCACTGCCAGCCTGGGCCCCGTGCTGGCTCTGGCCTTGCCCATCAGGGCTGTGCTGCTGCGGGAACAGCTGTGGCCCCCCCTGCTTGCGCTGGGCAGTGTTTGCTGCTGCTGCCTGCCCAGAGCTCACGCGCTGGGCAGCAGCAGCAAACACTTCCTGGTGAGACAAGTTGGGGGCGCTGCAGCTGCTGCTGCCACGGCGCAGCCCTGATGGGCGAGCCCAAAGCTGACGTGGGGCCCAGGCTGGCAGCGGGGCAGGTTACAAGCTGGTGCTGAGTGCAGGGGAAATGCGGCCCCTTGCCCACCCTGTCACCGGCACCCCGCGCTGCAGCTACTTGCAGCCTGCATGGGGCTGCCTGTGCCTGCTCAGGACAGCCCCACGTGGGGAGTGGCTGCAGCAGGGAGTGCCAGCCACAGAGCAGGGGAGGGGCTGCTTTTCCTCATCCTCAGCACCAGCTCATCCTGTCATCTTTGACAGGAACCAAGGACAGATAAATTTAAATTTTCTAAATATTTTTAGGGGCCCTGTGGGCTGGATAGAATGGCCTCATGGGCTGCATCCAGCCCACGGGCCGTATTTTGCCCACCCCTGCTCTGGTGTGTTAACTTGGCCCCATAATTTGGTATCACCTGTGAACTTGGTCAGGGTGCTCTCTATGCCCTCGTCCAAGTCACTGATGAAAACATTAAATAGCGCCGGTCCAAGGACTGAGCCTTGTGAGACTCCACTGCTCACATCTTTCCAGGTCGATATCGACACATCTACCACCACTCTCTGGGTGCAACCCCCTAAGCCAATTTGCCACCCACCTGACCATGTAATCATCTACATCCCAGCCTGTCAGTTTATTTATGAGACCAGAATGAGATACTGTATTGAATGCCTTCTTCAAGTCTAGGTAGATGACATCTACCTCGACTCCTGCGTCTAAGCATTTTGTGACCTGGTCATGAAAAGAAACAAAGTTAGTCAGGCAGGATCTACCTGCAATGAATCTGTGCTGATTTCCTTTCAGCATTATTTCCCCTGCTGGGCTCCCACAAATGTGATCCTTAATGAATTTTTCCAGAGTTTTCCCAAGGATAGAGGTAAGACTAACTGGCCTATACTTTCCCAGTTCCTCCCTCCTCCCCTTTTTGAAAATAGGGATCACATTGGCCCTTTTCCAGTCCTCTGGGACCTGACTGGAGTACCATGAGTGCTCGAACAGCCATGCTAGCAGCTCTGCTATGACACTGGCCAATTCCTTCAGCACCCTTGGATGAATTTTATCCAGGCCTGCTGATTTGAACACATCCAGCCCCTTCAAATGCCCCTTCACTAAATATGCACTAACAGTTGGTGGGCTGGTGTCCCTCCTGTGTCTATCTATGATCCAATTGGGAGATTTGTCTTGGTCTGTGTCTAGGAATACAGGTGCAAAGAATTCATTGAAGAGCTCAGCTTTGTCCACCCTGTCTGTCACCAGTTGGCCTAGTTTGCCATGTAGAGGTCTTATTCTACCCTGCGCCTTCCTTTTGCTCCCCATATACCTGAAGAAAGACTTTTTGTTGTCCTTAATTTTTGTCGCCAACCTGAGTTCTAATCCTGCTTTAGCTTTCCTAACTGATTCCCTGCAAGTGCGAGCCAGGGAGGTATAATCCTTCTTGGTAGCTTTCCCCTGGCTTTATACCTCTTTCTTTGCCCTTAGGTTTTCCTGGACTTCCCTATTCAGCCAAGAGGGCTTCTTGGTCCCTTTTCCCCCTTTTATGCACGATGGGATTGTCTCCTTCACCCATAGGATCTCTCCCTTGAGGAACAACCACCCTTCCTGGACCCCCATTTCACCAATGCTCTTGAGCTTTAATGCATCACTAATCTCCTGAAGCACATTGAAGTTAGCCTTTCTGAAGTCTAGCACTTCAGCACTGCTGGTTAGTTTACCCACTCTTTGACAGATAGTGAATTCAATCAATTGATGGTCACTATCCCCTAGGTTACCTCGTACCTGCAGATTCCCCACTAGGTCATCCCCTGTAGCTAACACCAAGTCCAGCAAGGCATTTGCCCCAGTGGAATTGTATACGTCCTGTGTTAGGTGGAGGTCCTGTATGCAGGTTAATAACCTATGTGAGTGGTTAGATTTGGCTGACTGCTCCTCCCAGCAGATGTCAAGGTAGTTTAGGTCACCCATGACAACCATATCTCTTGACTGTATAGCCTCTGAGAGCTATCTGGAGAATTCCAGGTCTAGCTCATCCTCCTGGTGTGGCAGTCTATACTAGACCCCCACTACCAAGTCCCTTTCCCCCCACACCTTGTATCCTGACCCACAGTACCTCAGTTTGGCCCTCCTCTGATCCCATCTTGATTACAGAGGATGTATATTGTTCCATAACATAGAGCGCAACACCCCCCCCCCATTTTTTCCCCACTCTATCTTGTTTGTACAACCTGTAACCCCCAATGCCTACTGCCCAATTGTGAGTAGGGTCCCACCAGGTTTCAGTTAGTCCAACCAGGTAGAAGTTGTTGCTTTCAAGCAGGAGGGCAAGTTCCTCCTGCTTGTTCCCCATGCCCCTAGCATTAATGTAGAGACATTTAAGCCCCCCAGTGGGTGCCATTGGTACCCCGCTGTCCTAATGTCTATCAGGCCCCTTAGTGATTACCTTAGTGCTTACCTGGACTGATCCAGTGCATTTCTTGTGGCTCGCTGATCCTAGGTTCTCCTTTTCCTCTGCTTCCCCGTCCCCTGATGAGCCTAGTTTAAAGCCCTTCAGAGGAGATCAGCCAACCTGTAAGAGAACAAGCTATTACCTTTAGAAGAGAAATGAAGACCATCTCCTTCACGGATGAAGACTATCTTGTCTCATGCTGCCTATCCCTTCAGAAGCTCATTCTGAAGGTTCTCAGAGAGGGTTAGAGTAGTAATCAGAGTGGAATGAAAGAGAAGGGTTTATGTCCACCTGTGAAGGCCAGTAATTCTAGCATCAAAGCTGTTTTGACCACTCTGACAAGAAAGCTGAGACCTGTTGGTAGGAATCCTGTCTAATGACACCTTTAAAAAGTCTTTTAGCAGTCTTTGAACTACACACTCTTGCTGGTGTGGGATACTAAATATCTTTCTTTTTTAATATAAGGTAACTAGTATGTTAATCTGTCAGGCCACAGACATCCTTTGATGTAGGTATGCAACTCAGTAATTAGTCCAACAAGAGTTGCACACAGGATTAAGAGTTATATTTAGAATTGCAAAAAACAAAGTTTTTAAAAACATATTTACATATGACATTCAGATACCACAGTAGCAGGTATCGTATAATGACACAGTGGGTGCATCTACATGTGCTATCAATGCACTTTACGCTTACTGTGAAGTAAAATAAGGTGCAGTGAGCGTTCCTTGTGAACACTTCTACACGTGTGTCTGTTGGGAGCAAATTTGTGCCTGATGGGAACAGTTCAGTGTAGAGATATTCCTGCCTTGCTCTGCCTCCCTACAGCAGACAGCAGCTGCTCCAGGCTCTCCTAGGTGCTAGCCTTGGGCTGGCAAGGGACACTGGGGTCAGGCCTGGGCTCCACGGGGTAGTGGGATGGGGCTGTCCTACCTTTGAGGCAACTGCCTCCCAGCCCCACACCCAGATTGGTAGTTTGGGGCAGGGGTTGGGAAACTGTCCCCTGCCTCAGGCAGCTGCCTGCTTCCCAGCTCTGTGCCCCAATTGGCAGATAGGGGCAAGGGCTGGGAAACCATCTCCTACCCCAGGTAGCTGCCACTTCCGAACCCTGTGTCCCAATCAACAGGTTGGGGTTGGGTCTGGGAAACTGTCCCATGCCCTGGGCAGCTACCTGTTTCCTAGCCTCATGCCCCATGCCAGCGTGGGCCTGGAAAGCAGGCAGCTACCTGGGATAGGGGACAGTTCTGACAGGCTGACTAGGAGCAATTTGGTCCTGGTCAGCTGTCTACACATATGCTACTGTGCAGTAGCTATTGCATGGTAAATCTACCACCTGGATTTACAGTTAGTAGCCAACCATGCAGTAGACTAATTTACTGCACAGTAAATGCTGCACACATGTAGATGGTGATGCTTTACTGCATACAGGTTTCCCTTGCTGTATGCGGTACGTGAGTTCCTGAAAAACTGCATATAACTCAAAATCACATAAAGGGAACCCACTTTACAAGGTAACAAATAGGGATACATTCCAAGAAATCTGCTGGGGTCAGGCGCCTCACTGGGCTGTTCCCAGTGGGAGCTGTGCTGGGCTGCTCTCAGAGCAGGCAGTGGCAGCTCTGGGAGGGGGATTGTGGGGGGGCTACAGCCACCCCAAAATTTGCTGTATCCCCCAACCCCCCTCCCAGTGCTGCCAGCACTCACCTCAACTGCTGGGAAGAGCCCAGCCCCAGGGGCTGGTGTGAGTGGTGTTTCAATTTGCACCCTCAACGGTGGGGAGGGATGGAGTGGGGCTGGGGCGGAGGCCGGTGCTGCACAGCCAGGTTGGGGTGCAGCACAGGGGGTGCAGCTCCTGCTGCTACAGGCTGCTGCTGTGGGCAGGGGCCCACAATGGAGTCTTCCCGGGGTGGGGGTTGGGCCCTGCTGCACTCAGGGCAGATGGCAGCAGCACTGGGAGAGGGGTCAGGGGGGCTACTTTTGGCTGGCTGCAGCCCCCTGTAGCCCCCCTCCCAGCACTGGTGCCACCCACCCTGAATACAGCCCAGCCTGGCCCCCCACCAGGAAGAACCTAGCATGCTCCCTGGCCCCAGCCCACAGCAGCAGGCCATAGCAGCAAGAGCTGCACCCCCTGTCCTGTACCCCACCCCAGCTGTGTAGCACCCGCTTCTGCCCCAGCCCCAATGCCACTCCCTCCCTCACGACCTGTGGGAGGGCCAGAATGAGGCCCCATAAGCCTTACTTGGGGTCCTGGGAGCCTCCCAGAGCTGCAAAAGCTGTGATTCTGCTGCATGGAGCTTGGCTGGTAGCTGTAGCGCGACTCTGACCAGCTCAGCTTCAGTTTTGACTGTTGCCAGCTGGCTCTGCGTGCGCTGCACCACTTTTTTTTTTTTTTTTACCCCTGGATGGGGTCAGTAAAACCCTCTGCACTGCTCAGCTGCAGCACAGAGAACAACGGCCACCCTTGTCTGGACGCAGCCAGTGTGACTAAAAATAGGATAACCAGCAATACAATATGCAGTTGCAACATCATTGCTTCAAAGGTAGTCTTTTGTAAGGGACAATAGAAGTTCCAGGCTTTACATCATTTGTTAATTATGAATCTTGGGTATTATTTTCCTAGCATCATTAGTAAGTCAGTGGTTTCTCATCATTGCCCACTATGTGCATAATGAATAACTTTTCAGACTACTTTTGGGTTTTAAGAATAAAGGATTGATTTCAAATTATTTGGTTTCCTAATAGCTGTGGCCCCTTCTGGTTTTGAGGAATCAGCTGAGCACTGCCCTGAATCAGATAGCCTCAGATCTTGGATTCCATACCGTGGTCATTGCTATTACATTGAAACATCAGCTGAAAGAAGCTGGGCCCAAGCCTCTCTGGAATGTATTAAATTAGGTAAGAGTTTTCTGTTGAGATGAAAGATTTACATACAGGCATAAAACACTCATTAAACATCATCAAGAGTTAAAATTTCAATTATTGAAACAGTTTTTATTGTTAAATAATATAATTATTTTAAGCTGGATATTCTTTCCACTATTTCTAGTGTTTTTTTTGCTCTTGCTTTTCACAGTTGAAGCAATGAAACTAGAAAGATATAATTGACTTTAATTTTACATTCAGGCTCATGGTCTGGATTACACACATTAGCAAGTTACTGTGATATTCATGTTTCCAGCATAGATAGTAAATTGATTTATTTTGTACAATACAATTCCAGACTGTAAAATAGTATCTATTCTACTTCATATAGCCTTGATGACCACTTTGGCCTAAACATGTAACATCAGTTTCATCCATACATCCCATTGCTCTTTTGTACCCTGGATCCAATAGTTCAGCTGTATACCTTCTGACCTGCTCAATGCTAAAATAAAAATGTGTAGATTTTTAAAGATTGCCCTTGCTTGGTTGAGCTGTCACTTGATACAAGCACAAGTTCTTTTTTTTTTTGCTCTTTTTTCTTAGGAGGCATAAGAATGGAGAGCAAAACCAAGCAGGAGTGGAGTAAAGCTCTTCAGAATAAAGTGTTTTTTTGTGGTAGGTTTGAAGGAGTGAATTATTTCAATATATGCTCACCCAGGCTATACTAATACTTTTCAGGTGCTACTTTGGCTTCAGTAGAAGATTCGGCTGAGTCTGATTTTCTGACATACAGAATACTGACATCTCAAAAACTACTGTCCAAGAGTTGGTTTCAATACTATGGAATGAGATATGGTAATTTTTTTCTTTCAGTGTTTAAACATAATATATATTTACCACTGAGATTATTATTACCTGTTTTATCTATTAATACTGGTGATCTGATCAGTCTGTATGGGCATGTGTACACATCACACTATGTTGCCATAATGATGCGCTATAATGATGTAGCGACTACGTGGCTGTACATGTGACTAGCAGCTACTTCATCATAGTGACATGCTCCACCTTTTTAGCCTGCTGCTACAGTGAAGTAGTGGCTAAAACTAACCGCACAGTGCAGCAACAACATTACCATAGGGCAACATGTAGATGCGCCTTATATGTCTCTTACCACTTAATATCAAAGGAGATAGCTTCAGGTGTCCTCTACTGTTTGTTGCTGGACATCTAATACTGTGCCCTTTACAACTGGGCAATTAGCAATGGCAATAGTTTGATGGGTTGATGGGAAAAGTTTTCAAATGTGCAATTATTCAGGAGTCAGGAGAGAAAAATGCAGAAGACATGCAACTGCATCAGTTGACAGGCAAACATGAGAGCTGATGCATTTCCCTCATTAGCTGTACCTATCTTCCACTCCCTATTTTTGTCTTTTTCCTTTTGTCTTGCTTACCTTGTTATGGATTTTCTTCATCCCAAGGTCTTGGCCTTTCTGTATACAGCCTAGAATTGGAAATAGTAGTTGAGCAGTTCTGTCTATTTGCATTGCCTTAAATCCTACCCAGGGTCCATACCAGAAGCTACTTCTGGTTCTGGTTGCAAATGTTCTCTTAAAAGAAATATATAAAGATTGTAGAAGCTACATTCATTTGATTCACACTCACAGCCTAAGAAAGCAGCCACACTGGTTGCTATCTTTAGTTTCCAAAAGCCTTCAGACAGAAAACGTAAGAAAGGTTTAAAGAAAAATAAAATAATATATTTTTGTAGTAGCATAGGCCTAGAATTTTAATTTTTGATGCTCTACTAAAATTTCAGTGTGTAAACCACATTCTCATCCCTCTTATTTTCCACCCTTCCTTTTTAATATCTCACAAAGCTTTTCAATGATAACTTTTTTATTTACTTGTTACCCTTACACTTCCCCTTTCCTCTCACAGTTTTTTCCCCCTTGGACTGCATATCTTCACATATTCCTTATACTGTCAGAGTTCTTTGAATTTTATTCTTAACGTTGCATAATTCTTTCTCCCCAGTCATCCCAGTTGTCTAAATCTTTTTTTCAATTTCCTCTGCTGTTCTCTTCTCTTCAACTATGTTTTTCCCAATCTCTCCCTTTCCTTTCTATCATTCCTCAGTTAATGCTCCTGTCTCCATCCTTCCAACTCTATTCTTTTATCTTCCAACCATACCATCCTCTTTGCTCTCTGTCCTGTTGCTGCTCAGATCATAGGCACTCCAGTTTTTAAGCAACTTGCAGGGGTGAACAACACAAAAGGTCATCAGAAGGAAAGATCAGTACAAATATGCCAGACTTTCCTCTGTCTCCTTTCCACCTTGGAGAAGCTTGCTCCAGAAACTTCCCTGGTCCTTTACTGGTAGGTAAGTGAAGGGGAATGAGGTTGCTGTAGAGTCACAAGGAGTAATAACTCCCCTACTGGCTGGCATCTAGGGTTGAGTGCTTCAAGGGCAGGACGTGTGTGTTGAGCATATGCACAAACTCTGATTGGCTCCTTATTCCTCTTCAAAATAAACTTAATTTTTGTGTTAGATTTGAAGGACTGTCATTTTAATGTATGCTGACCCAGGTTATCTTAATACTTTCCAGGTGGTTCTGTCAGTTTTTTATTCGATTCGGGATGGTTCGATTTCTGGACATCTTTACTATGGAGTGGCACAAGAATGAACGGTTTTTGGATAGGAATGTACAGAAATATGGATGGTAATTCTTTTTTTTTTTATTTCAGCATTCAATCCAAACAAGTATTCAACAAATATTATTCCCCAGAGGTCATTTTTATCTTTAAATATACATTCTAATGATGTTCTGGTAGGTCTATATATGTTTCTTAGTACCACCTACTATCAAAGGGGATGGTTCTAGGCCTCCCCTACACTGGTGGTGCTCAACCTATTTAGCCCTGCAGGCTGAATGAATGATGAGAGACATGTCCACAGATCTGATCCAGCATGGGTTCAGCACGTAGAGTTGGTTTGCTTTCAGTTCACCTTTGGAGTGACCATGTGCACTGGCAACAACCACAGCTCGACCCCACACACCAGCACAATCCAGCCTGTGGACCACCTTACAGGTCTGGAAATTTGATGCTGCTCTGGAAACTGTGGCAAATAATGCTTCCAGTATGCCACCTCCCCTACATTTCCAGGTCTGTGGGAAACCCCATGGGCCAGATAATGTGGTGCTGCAGGTGTAGTAGGCCTAGGGCCCCTCAGAAAGTCTGTCACTTTCTGGTGGCCTGCATCAGCCTGCTTTGCCCTGTGGCACCTTAGTGCACCTCTCCCATCTCCCTTGCCACACCTTGATGTTATGAAAGATAGTTTGGGAGCCTGTCCTTAGGTAGCCAAATTGTAGTCTGATAACCTGTTGCTGCTATGGAGATTTCTCTTGCTCTCCCTCCCTCTCCCTTTCTTTCCCTCTTTCTCAGCCTCACAGTAGCCCACAGCATTCTTGGACTTTCCAGTTGCCCCTTCTAGGTCCTCAGGCTGGGCAACAGCTCCCTCTATATCACAGTCCCTCAGGTACTCTATTTCTAGCTCCCTTCCCAGTTTCTCTGGGTTGTCTCACTCTCTGTATGATTTCTTTGGGGCTTGTTCATCCCTTATCACATTTCTCTGGGCTGCTTTGCCCTTAGTTCCATTGTCTGAATGTGCCTTCCTCCTCAGCCCACAGAGTAGAGCGGGAGGATGATATCCCTGGTTTTGCTTGAGATGTATTGGTGGATGCAAGCCAGAGTTTGCTTTGCTTTGCCTGCTACAGCATCACATTGGTGGCTCATGTTCATCTTGTGAACCCCCAAGTCTCTTTCAGTCATGGTGCTAGTAAGTATAGCACTGCTGACCCTATAAGAATGATGCTGGTTTTTCCACTCAAGTTGGAGCACCCTGCACTTCTCTGCATTAAATGCCATTAGGTTTTGGTCCACCCACCTTGTGAGCCTGTCCAGGTCAGCCTGTATCCCCAATCTGTTCTCCAATGTGACTGCCTTCCCCCATAGTTTAGTGTCATGTGTGAACTTTGCCAGTCTGCATCTGATGCCTGAATCCAGATAATTTATGAAAATGTTGAAGAGTACTGGCCTGAGTACTGAGCCCTGAGGGACACCACTAGTCACTGCGTGCCATGTTGATTTGCTGCCATCAACCAGTACACTTTGGGTCTGACCCCGGAGTCAGTTCCCCAGCCATCGGACCATGTGATGGTCAAGGCCACAGTTTTCCAGCTTAGCTATGAGGACATCATGGGAGACCAAGTCAAAGGCTTTCTTGAAATCCAGATATATGACATCAACCTCGTCTCCCTTGTTCCAGGCAATGTGTCATCTGATCATAGAAGGAGACAAGGTTTGTCAGGCAAGACCTTCCAGCAACAAAGCCATGTTGGCTGGCACTCAGAAAGTTGCCTTCCATTAGCCTGCTGCTTGATAATTTTCTCCAGGATCTTTCCAAGGATGGATGTCAGACTGATTGGTCTGTAATTCCCTGAGTCTTCCTTCCTTCCTTTCTTGATGATTGGGACTACAGTGGCTCATTTCCAATCCTCCACTACTTCTCAAGTAGAGCCAAGGAGGTGATCCTCCCCCTCTACGCGACACTGGTCAGGCCACAGCTGGAGTAGTGTGTCCAGTTCTGGGCACCCCACTTCAAGAGGGATGTGGACAACATTGAGAGGGTCCAGAGGAGGGCCACCCGCATGATCCGGGGACAGCAGGGCAGACCCTACAATGAGAGGCTATGGGACCTGAACCTGTTCAGCCTTCACAAGAGAAGGCTCAGGGGGGACCTGGTGACCGTCTATAAACTCACTAGGGGGGACCAGAAGGGTTTGGGGGAGACCTTGTTTCCCCTAGCGCCCCCCGGGATAACAAGCCATAAGTTGTTGGAGAGTAGGTTTAGATTAGACATCCGTAAGAACTACTTCACAGTTAGGGTGGCTAGGATCTGGAACCAACTTCCAAGGGAAGTGGTGCTGGCTCCTACCCTGGGAGTCTTTAAGAAGAGGCTTGATGCCTACCTGGCTGGGGTCATTTGAGCCCAGTTTTCCTCCTGCCCAGGCAGGGGGGCGGACTTGAAGATCTACAAGGTCCCTTCCGACCCTACTTCTATGATTCTATGATTCTTCCAAGTGCCACGAGTTCTCAAATATCTTCGCCATAGGGCATGCTATGATGTCCACCAGCTCCTTCAGGACTCTCGGGTGCATACCATCTGGGCCTGCGGACTAATGGATGAGTCTTTTGAGGTGTTCCCTCACTTGATCTACATCAATTGTAGGCCCATCTCCTGCCCCCTGGATGCTTTGTGTCCTATCTGACAGGGTGACCGCTTTGGATGAGGGGAAGACTGATGCAAAGTAATCGTTTAGGAGATTTGCCTTTTCCTGAGCATCAGTCATCAGCTGCCCCCTTTGATTTAGCAGGGGTCCAATGTTGCCTTTGTTCTTCCTCTGATATACCTGAAGAAGGACTTTTTGTTGTCCTTGATTCCCATGGCTAGCCTGAGTTTGGTGTCTGCCTTGGCTTTTCTGGTCCTCTCTCTACAGGTGCGGGCTAGTGCTGTGTAGTCCTCCTTGGTGATGACCAGGGATCCTGGTTTTCTCTGATTAAAAATTGCAAATTCTCTGATTAAAAACCCAAAATCCGTGATAAAAATTAAAGGCCCCCCACAGACCCCTGCAGCACAACTGGTGCCCTGCACTCCCCCCCACACTCTCAACAGCCTTTCTGATGCCCCTCACAACAGCCCCCCAGACCCACAGACACAGACACACAGGCACAGACATGCAGACACAGACACTGATACACATCCCAGCAGGTAAGTGTGTGTGGGGGAAAGAGCGTGGCAGGGTGGGGAAAAGGGAAGGTGCTGGGGGGGTAGATCAAGAAGGGGGGGAGTGTGCCCCTATGCCCACTCCCAAGAGCAAGGCCAAGAGGTGAGGGCAGGAGTGCCACTCTGTGGGGCCCATGCACGTGCTGGCTGGCCTGACAGGGGGTTCTCACATGGAGGCTGCCACCGCAACTCTGCCACTGCACCCTGAGCTACTGTCCCATGGCCATCTGCATGGCTTTGTGGGCAAGTGGCACAGGGCACGGCAGCAGCAGTGCGGTGGCAACCACCGTGTGTGGGCCACATATGTGCCACCTGGACAGGGGGTGGAATGGGGGGCTTGCATGCAGTGGCATGCCCTGCAACTGGCTGCACAGCTCTACAATGGTGCACGGTGGCGGTGGCTGTATGAAGGTTGGGGGGGGGGTGCTTTACGGGCAAGCGCTGTCCCCGTGGAGCCATGCCCTTTGCCCCTGGATCCTAGAGGTAAGTGGGGCTTGGGAGTTGTGGGACAGGGCTGAGGAAGATGGTTGGGGGCTGAGGGAGTGGGGCATGCTGCTGGCCCCAGGCAGCACACTACAGCTGGGAGCAGGGCCAGGGGGTGAGGGGAGGGGTGCCCCTCTGCAGGGGGCTTTGTGGGCAAGTGATGCAGGGCGCAGTGTGGTGGCACCCGCCATGTGCGGGCTGCACACATGCCACCCAGCCACCTGCCCAGGAGATAGGGAGAGGGAGGCTTGCATGCAACTGGAGCACAGCTCTGTGGCTGGCTCTGCAGCCATGGTGAGGGATGGTGGCTGGTGCGGGGGGGGCTCACACGCGGCGGCCGCTGCCACTTATCTGGAAAACTGTGCCAGCAGTGATGTCCACTGCCTACAAAATCCCCTGCTGCTGCCATGGAGCTGTGCCTGAAGCTGTGTGGCTGGCCGCCAGGCAGCAGTGGCAGTGTGGTGGTGGCCAGCTGGCATGCAGCCATCCCCACCACCATCCCGCACCACGCCACTGCTGCTGGCCACACAGCTCTGAGTGTGGCTCTGAGGCGTCAGTGGGAGGTTTTGTAGGTAGCAGCCATCACTGCTGGCATGGGCAGCCACTGCTGCTTACTTGTGGGGCCGCCAGTGCCAGCAGTGAAATCTCCGTTTTCTCTGAAAGAAAGAGAAAACCACGGATTCCCTCTGTTTTACCATGGGAAACAGAAAACCTGGATCCCTGGTGATGACTCCCATTTTCCATCTTGCATAAGCTTCTCTTTTAGCTTCTGGAGGTCCAAAAGTTCCCTATTGAGCCAAGGGGGAACCCCAGCACACTAACTGCACTTCCTTCAGGATGGGATGGACTTTCTTTGTGCTTTGAGGATTGCGTTCTTAAGAAACAACCATTCTCCATGGGCTCCCCTTTCTAAGGGGCCATGGTATCTGAGTGCTTGGTTGACCAGTCTCCTAAGTTTTTGAAAGTTGGCCTTCCCAAAGTTGAGGAGTTCTTTTTTACTGAGACACTTCTGTTGGACAGAAAAAGTGATCAGTTCATGGTCACTTTCACCAAGCTTCCTCTCAATCCTCAGATCACTCACCAGATCATCCCCTTTGGCCAGAACCAGATCCAGCAGTGCCTCTCCCCTAGTCAGCCTGTAGATCTCTTGCATTAAGTAGAGGTCGGCAATGCATGCAAGGAAGCTATGCAACTGGCCAGGTTTGGCCATGTGCTCTTCCCATGAGATGTTGGGGAGGTTGAAGCCCCCCGTGATGATCAGACATCAGGAGCATGCAGCCTCAGCCACTTCCCTATTGAATTCTCAGTCCAGCTCTTTCTCTTGGTTGGGAGGTCTGTAATAGACTCCTACAGTTATGTCCCCTTCCCCATGCTCCCCCTGTATTTTAACCCAGAGGGTCTAGAGATACCTTCCTTGGGTGCTAAACTCAGTTTGAAGGGAAGTGTATTGCTCCTTCATGTAGAGAGCTACACCCCACCCTTCTTCCCAACACAGTCTCTCCTGTACAAGGTATAGTCTCCTATACCTACAGACCAGTCATAGGTGGAGTCCCACCAGGTTTTCATTATCCCTATGAGATCATAATCATTGTAATTCAAGAGTAGAGCCAGTTCCTTTTGCTTGTTCCCCAAACTCCTGGCATTTGTGTACAGGCAGCTGAGCCTGCCGTGGGAAGCCCCAGGCTTCCCTGTGCACTGGGACGTGACCTTTCCTTGGGCTGTGTTCAGAGTGGGTTCCCTTCAGCTACCTGGTCTATTACTACTGTGGCTGTTGTGACCTGGGATAGAACTGTTAATTGATCACCTGTCTCCAGTGATCCCAGCTTAAAGCCCTGTCAAATAGGTCAGTCATCCTGGCCAAGATGAGCTTCTTCCCTTTCAGGGTGAGGTGGAGGCCATCCCTCCCCAACAAGCCACTGCCTCTCTCCTTAAGGTGTGGACCGTGGTCAAAGAAGCCAAACCCTTCATGATGGCACCATCACTAGAGTCTTCTGTGGACCTCTCCAATACACCTCTCCCTCTGAGGCCCATGACCAGGAGGATCGAGGAAAAAAACTATCTGTGCCCCCAGACCCTTGAACCCAGCCCCCAGAGCCCTGTAGTCACTCATGACCCGGCCAGGATTGTTCAGAGAACTCCTGTTCTAAGTTGTGCACCAGGCACAGAAGCATGCCTGTTTGTGTGTTTGGTTCATGAGGCTCTGGTCGCGCAGTTCCCTGTGGGGCTGGGTCAAGTAGGAGATGGAGGGGGCATGACCCTCCTCGGCTCCTCTCAGCTGCCTCCCCACAGCTGGCTACGCCCCTCCTGCTGCAGGCTCTGCTTACCTCTGGCTGTGCTGGGGGTCAGTTGGGGGTCTGCCACCTGTGCTCGGGGTCACTGAGGGGGTCCTATGCTTGCGGGGTTGCAACGAGCTTCTGCCTGTGCATCTCTCACCGCTGCCGGACCCAAACTGAAAAAGGTTAAATGCCTTTTAAAATATCTAGATGCCTCAATTTTTTATTGTGACCTGGATAAAAAGCACACATTAAATTGCTCAGTGATATCCTTCTAATGATGGGCAATGGTTTTGATTCTTGTTACAAATGGGCACTCCAGGTCCATTGTATGAGCAGAGAGGTCATGAAGTTAGTAAGTACAGATGTTGAACTGACCTCTGTAGACACAATCCTCTAAGTCCAGGGTTACTGAACCTTGATGTCTGCAATGATGTTGGGTCTAAAAACCACTGATCATCAAACAGCTATAGCCAGGTATAAATGGACCTGGCTTGGAATGGATTAATTGCTTCCTGTCAGAAAGATGTGTTAAACAGTTCTTCATGAACCCTATCTCCATTCTTAGATGATGTGCTCCAACATTTCATGTTATCACCATCTTCAGTGTCTGTGGTCTGTCAGAATTTTTCATGAGAAGGCATGGTTTATGATATGCTTGTATTTGGATGATACCCAGATACCTATTGTGAGTGGACAGATTCCCGGGCTTAGGCAAATACTGACAGTAAACAAGTAGTCACAAATCAATTGTACATGGTTTCTATTACAAAGCAAATAAAACATAAGACCCAAGCAGGGATGCATTAAAACAAAGTATAATTGTTTTGCTATAATATACTTGAATATATTTTCAGATGCTTGTTTTGTTTGCGTTATTTTTTGTTCTTCTTAACTCAATTTCATACCTCTGAATTTGCAAGCCCAACTTTTTGTGTGTTGCTTCAAATTCCACATGCCGTTTACATTTATTACATTATGTACTCTTTTGTTAATAGAGTTCTTAGGTGTTAGTTAATAGTAAATGAAATTAAATTATTGCCTAATAGATAGGATTATGGTCTAATTTTTCTTGAGCTCCCTCTAATAATACAATAAATGTGCTGATAACTGGAAAGCAGGTATTAGTTTGGAACTGCTGTGTATAGCAGAATGTTTTTCTTATTTTTTTATACATATTCATTTTGACTTTAGGCCAGTGGTTATGGCTAGATAACACTGCAGTGGATTTTGCCAACTGGAATGCAGAACAGCCCAATGAGGGAGGTCACTGTGTTGAGATTGCTGCATTATATGGATTTTGGAATAAACTTGAGTGTTCTTATGAACAAGGATTTGTTTGTGAAAAATCAAACTGTAAGTAATATAGTTAATTATATATTAATGTTTATCAGTTATTATTAGAGTATGTATACTATAAAAATATCTCTGTGTAATATTACAATATATGCAGCTGTGGTATGGTAGGGGGCTGAGGCTATGTGTATAGAAACATGCCACTTCCTGGGGAGCTGAATCCAGCCCTGTGTGGCTACAAAAACTATATCATATGGCTTCTTAAATTTACCAACCTTCACCTTAAAATAATTGGGGTTTTATTTGGGGCCTGGTTTTGTCCTCATAACTCCTGTTGGAGACTGCCAGGACCTCACTCCTTCAGTGATTAAAAACCATGATGATGGTATAATAAGTGATATCATGGTATATTGGCAATCTATTCTCCTAAAGTGCAATGTAAAGAATTCATCCAAGTGTCAGACACTATTAAAAAATAACTAGCAGTTTACAGTACCTCTGCTTTTGTATGCACAAATGGAAGCATTTCAAATGCGCTTCTTTGGCAGAAAAGCCCAGGTACCCACACTCTGAGAACTGATTCTGAAATTAAACATCTAAACTCTATAGCCATTTTTGAAAATTTAATCTGTCATCTTTATCAAAAGATTTTATTGGTGTTGTGGTAATCATTTTATTGCCATCTTCTTTTAAATATAAAACAAATACTGAAGCCAATTTAGAAACAGTTAATCTCATTCTTATGCTTCATTTTCCAGATTCTGTGGTATTATATATTAGCAACATGGAACGGCATGTTGTACAATTGATTTGTTTTAATTTCACTTAATTTGGTGACCATACATCCCATTTAAGGAACATCTGTGTTTAAAACAGGGCTGTCCAGTAAAAATAGGGTTGTTCCAGTGCCCCACCTTGCTCTCCAGTGCTCCATACACTCCCCTGTTTTCTGCCTTCCCTGTGCCCAGTTCTTTCCCTCTGGCTTCAGTGTGCTCAGTTGAGACCAAAGCTTGGGGGGGGGGCGGGGGGGGCGGGGAGCTAGGTTTTATTCATCTCCCTTCAGTTATCTTTTCTCTAAGATGAAAAGTTCTAGCTTATTTAGTTTCAGATTATACAGAAGTCTCTCTGCACTTCTGGTCATGCTTCTTATTTGGGAAGTGCATGATGAAAGATAATTTCCCTACTTGATGGGCACATCTACACATGCATTTGATCCAAGATCTGTTTACTTGTGAGTAAACTACTCATGAGTAAATGCTCCTGGGCAGGTGACACATGCAGGGACAAGGGAGCAGATTGCTGCTAATGGAAGGATATTGCTTCCATTTCCTGGAGCCCTGCAATAGGCCCCTACTACCACGAGGGGAGCTCTAGGTGCCCCCTGGGTGCTAGCCCAAGGGCTGGCAGGGAACACTGGACCAAGAGACAGATGCCCCCAGGGGGCTGCCTGCTGCTGGGGTGGGGACAATTTTACCCTACTCCAGCAGCAGGGAGCTCCTGGCCCTGGTTTCCCCATCAGGGGCAGAGGACTTGGAAAGAGCTGCAGGAGAGGGGCAGGTCCCAACCCCTTGCCCCATCCACTGGTGCAGCACCTAGCAGCTAGCTTTCTGCTAGCTGCCCCACTGGCAGATCGGGGTAGGGGTCTGGGACTTACCCTACTGCTGCAGCTTTTACTTGATCGGGACTGACACCTGCCCCTGATTGGGACAGTTCCCAGCCCCTCCTCCATGATTGCAGGGTGGAGGCTGAGGAGCTTGTTCTCTGCTCATCTCTATGAGCGCAGATCTGGGTGGGGAACAAGCTCCCCAACCTGTTCCCTGCTCAGCTCCATGATCATGGACGTGGGTGGGGCTAGTATTGAGATCTCAGCACTGGCTTCACATCGGGGGGCTGGCACTGGGAGATCCTTATCTCCCAGCTCAAGCTCCATGATCATGGGGCTCAGGCTGGGAGATCTTTATTTCCCAGGTCCCTGCTTGTCAATTGCAATCTTGGAGCAGGGGGCCTGGAGTTCCCTGGTGGGAGCAGGGGAACATTGTCCCCACCACCTGGGCTTCATTGGTGGTGCCTGCCTGAGCGGCAGATCCTGGGGTCAGGGAACAATTTCCCATCCCCTGGTGGCCAGCAGACTGGGAGCAGATTTGCTCCTGGTCAGGCATCTACATGGGCGCTACTGTGCCATTACTAATTGCAACTAAATTTGCTATTTACTCATGATTAGTGAGGTTTACTGTGCAGTAAGCATGTACATATAGAATTGCACATGCTTACTGTGCAGTAAACTATGCTACTTCACACTGAAGTGTCTCACGTAGATGAGCCCAGTAAGAACTATTTCCCTACTTAATGGCCACATTGACATGTGTGCTTTACTGTGCAGTGGACTAATTGACTGCAGAGTAAAGCATCACTGTCTACACGTGACGGTATTAGGCTGCATTAAATTAAATGCAGTTGTGAAATAGTACTGTCGGGGACAGTAGATGCAAGTGTAGACACTGACCACAGGTGTAAATTGTGCCCAGTGAGCCCAGCCAGCAGGGGGCCAGACTCCTGCTTGCTGCCTAGCCAAACAGCTCCACACTTTCAACAGCCTCATGCTCTAGCCAGTCCCTCTGCCACCTGATGCCAGGTCAAGCAGGGCAGGAATGGCCCTGGTGTAAACTGCTCTAATCCGGCTCAAATTGCTGCTGTCCCAGATGCGCGTGTGGACATTATGCCTGGGTAATTTACTCTGGCTCAAACTGCTCCAGAGTTTATTGCTTCTAATCAATTGTATGTGTAGATACACTCAATTTGTGCTATAATTCCCACTTGTGAGTGTCCCACACATCTCAGCAGTGTACCCTGGTTGCCAAGAAGGCTAACAGCATACTGGGCTACATTAGTACAAGCGTTGCCAGCAGATCAAGGGAAGGAATTATTCTACTCAATTCTGTATTGGTGAGGCAACATCTGGAGTACTGTATCACCCTACTATAGAAAGGATGTAGACAAGTTGGTGAGAGCCCACAGGAGAGCAACAGGAATGGTTCAAGGTCTGGGGCACATGGCTTCTGGAAGAGGGACTGAGGGAACTGGGTTTTAGTCTGCAGAAGAGAAGACTAAGGGGGGATTTGATAGCAGCCTTAACTACCTGAAGGGTGGTTCCAGAGAGGATGGAGTCAGACTAGATTGTTCTCAGTGAAGCATTGGAACAAGTTAACTAGAAATGTGGTAGAATCTCCATCCTTGGAGGTTTTTAAGCCCCAGCTTGACAAAGCCCAGGGTGGAATAATCTAGTTGGGGCTGGTCCTGCTTTGAGCAGGGGGCTGGACTAGATGATCTCCTGAGCTCCCTTCCAGTCCTATTTTCTATTATTCCTCAAAGTAAGAGGTTTTACAAAAGAGTTTACTTCTCTAGTTTTATAGTTCAATTATATTAAAAAGTAGATAAAGCTCTTGTCACATATTTTATCTCTTCTAATTTTCTTTATTAGTGTAAGAGCACTATAAACATAACTGCAAGCCTTCCTATTTTTCAATCCAGTATAGTTTTCAGTGAAATAGTCCAACTTTTGTACATTCTGAATATGTCTTTTTTCCTTTTAAAGTGATTGAACTTGAAAAAACTGTGAAGATTTCAAGTGAAAGAGGTAGGGTTATTTTTAAACAAAGTATTAAAATCCCAAGTTCAATAAGAGTATATAGTGCAAGTTTCAAAACCACTCAAATTCAGTGGGATACATAATCCTAAAGTCCTTAACTACTTTTGAAAAAAAATTTAATTATTTCAAAATGGTTTCCTAAATGATTAGCAGTTCATGTTCCTGTCTAAAATTGTAACTGTTACAAATGATGCCTTGGCCTCATTGGATCAGCTTCCATTGGACCAAATCCTAAGGTCCTTCCTTAGGTTTGAATTAGGCCCCTCCCTTTCATAGGAGGGCAAGAATAAGGCAAGAGTATAGGAGGGGTGTACTGTACCTCTCTTGTTTTCATGTCTTCAGCAAGGATTAGGGCCAAGGACGGTCACAGAACCTATACTTGGAAAACACAGCTTTTGGATGCCTATGGCACGCACAGTTTTAGTGAGGTAGAACCATGGCAGTCTACCTCACATAACTGCATCTATAAAGGTTTTGCATGAGGGAGAGACTATGGAAGGAAACTTCCTCCTTTTCAGACCGTGATCTCATGGGAGCAGGATAGCTTCACATGACTTTTTGTTTGGGTATCACCTAGCTCTAAGTTTTCAATGAGTCTTTCTTCTGGCCAATTCTCATGGTCCTATTGAATTAAATAGGTGTTGACTTGAAACTAGATGTGAGTAGGGACATCAAGATTGGATGCATGTAGTCAGGATAAAGCTATTTGAATAATGAAGACAGATTTGTAATTATTGTTATAAGTGGCCAGTGTATTCTCTGCTGCTGTTCCTGGAGTTCTGTTATTTGTGAATCACATGCCTTTGTCAGCATTCATACCTATCAGGCACTCATGAAAATACCCAGAACTCACTAGCTTTCTGAAATTATTTTATCCTTATTTAGGATGAAAAAATACAAAATGTAAAAATGATGATGGGTCATAAATAAACATTCCCAAGCAGGTTTATTTGTTTCCCAATTGGGAGCAGAGACAATTTCATGTGATCAAGGTGAACGATCATGGAACACAAATAACAAATAGTGAACAGATCATAGATTGTTCAAAGACTACAAACTCTTTATTCAAGTTATAATATGAAATATGTTCATATCTTCCTCCATAGTTACTGCTGCTCCCACCATAATCTGAGTCTCCTTAAACACAGGGCTCTGTTAAAGGAAAGGATAATCACCAGTAATCCTTTGACATAGGTTAGTGCTCAGGTTGGAGCAGAACTGTCTCCAAGGGTCTTGACAGATGTTAATTTAATGAGATCTGATCCTGGATCCTCAAACTAATGCATCTTGCTATTGTATATCAGACATGCATAACAAGACATGCATTTTTTGGCAATTTATGGTGTTAATTGTGCCATAAATGTAACGTCCATCTGGGGCCCAAATTTAGGATGGAAATCTCCATCATCACTTGAACCCAGCATGCCCTGGCAGGGTTGAGAATTTGCTCCTTTGTTCTCTATACTCAGTAGTTGTCATCTAATATAATCACCAATGCATTTAACAATGTTCTGTATTTGGTTACAGAAGAGAAGAAGGATGAGGAGTCTTCTGCATCTGGCAGCCTTGCAATCTGGATACTGGGAGTGCTGGCCATTCTCAGTTTAGCGGGAGCTGGCCTCATGGCCTCTTTCTTATACAAGAAAAAAAGGCAAAATCAAGAGTAAAAAAGTGATGAAGGCAATGAGACACAACTGAATAGCACTGATACTGCTTAAGGAAGTAGTGAAATAAAGGATTCTGTAGGCAGTATCAGGCAGAATGTACACACTGTCCTCTAGTTTAATAAAACTATGGATGTGCCAGATTTTGGTAATTTAACTAAGTGGAATGAATTGAATCTTGAACCAAAGACAAGTTCTCTTGTAGCAGTAATTGTTTATTTTATGTTGAACGCATTTTTAAGCAAGCAGAAACATTTATTACTATTATATTGTTCTAGCATTCAGACTCTTCTCATAAATGGAACAAATGAGCATGGATAATTGTTCAGAAATATCATTTCTTATTTAGAACTAGATGGCCCTAAGATATCACGATCATTGAATTTGCTTTGTGGAAGCCAAAAAGCACTCAGCTGACATTCTGAAAGTTATCCCACAAAATTCATTCTAGCAACCCACTCCTGTTTTATTTGTTTGTTTTTGAATGGGAATCACGTTTTACTGTTTATGTAAAGAAGTATTACACATTATCACTTCAGGAAATTTTTGGAGACACAAAACCTTGCTGCTTTCATTTTCTTTAGTGTAGTAACAGTAATGTAGTTACTTGTAATCAAGTTCAAATAAACCTTGATTATAAATAAACTTGTAATCAATCTCAGTTCTGCAAATGATTTTGTAATTTTGTGTGGGAACTATCAAGGTATTGCCTATCTTTCTACAGCAAAGAATTGCTGAGGTGAAATTCAGCAGCTGCTATTATGACTAAGTGGTCTTATCAGGATACACTTTGCTCATCCTACATGGGGAAGGAGCTAAAAAGGTGCCCCAAACCTAGGCTGTATTATCTGTTTCTGCTTGGAACAGTGCATCCAGCAGGATCACTTTCTCTGTGGTCAAAAACATCATAAGATGACAATGATTTTTACAACATGGAACATTCACACCTTGATGGATAACCAAGACAATGAATGATCAGAAAGAAGAATTGCCATCGTCTCCAGGGAACTAGTGAGATGCAATGTTAACATTGCAGCTGTGAGATGAGACAACCGGATGAGAGTCAATTGAGGGAAGAGGGTGGAGGCTACACCTTTTTTTGGAAGGGGAAACCAGCCCAGGACAAACGTGTTCTTGTTGTTGGTTTCACCATCAAGAATCAGCTCATCAGTCAAGTTACAGAGCTCCCTGTGGGCGTTAATGAATACCCAAACAAAAAGTCATGTGAAACTTCAGTACCAGTTGGGCATAGCCTGGAACTCTGCAATGGCACCACTGGGAAGGAAAGAGCAGGGAAAGCTGGCTCCAGTGTCATCCTTCCCTTGAGCACATGTGCAAAGCACAATCTTGGCATCAGGAATACCATCTTCAGATAGTGACAAATATAAGACTACCTGGAGACATCCTCGCTCTCAGCACTGGCACTTCCTTGACTATGTTATTGTTAGGGCCTGTGGTCAAACGGATGTCCATGTCACGTGAGCAATATGAGAAGCCAATGACTGCTGGACAGAACACCATCTTTTCAGACCCATGATCAACATCTGGCTTGCTCCAAAACATCCAAAATATGAAGGACTTTCAGCACCAAATCTCTTCAGTGCCTGAAGGTCTGTATAGATTTCAACAGTGTCTCCAAGAACAGCTCTCTGCCCTGCCCACAGATGAAGGCAACATTGAGGAACTTTGGAAGGGGTACAAAACTGTCATTCATATGGCCATACCACCTATCAATACCAAGACTGTCTCAATAAGAACAAGACAAGGTTCCTTAGGTGAATTTGATATCTTTTATTAGACCAACCCAAATGGTTGGAGAATAGTTATTAAGCAAGCTTTTGGGTTCAAAAACCCTTTGTCAGGCTAAGGAAGCTTCAGCAGTTGGTGTGTGCTCTTCCTGGATGGAATGAAAAGTAAACAAGCCAGGGGCTGGGCTGGGCTGGGCTGGGGAGTCAGTTGCCAGACAGATTATAATGTATCAAAAATCCAATGTCTATGTTTAGTCCACGATCTCTAGTTGGATACTAGAGTGGCTCTCTCTCTCCAATCTCTCAGTCCTGATCCTCAAGGGAAACTTACACAACACTTCCCAGAGACGAGCCTATGAGCTCCATTTCATCAACCTGCTGGATACTAGAGATCATGGACTAAACATAGACATTGGATTTTTGATACATTATAATCTGCCTGGCAACTGACTCCCCAGCCCAGCCCAGCCCAGCCCCTGGCTTGTTTACTTTTCATTCCATCCAGGAAGAGCACACACCAACTGCTGCAGCTTCCTGAGCCTGACAAAGGGTTTTTGAACCCGAAAGCTTGCTTAATAACTATTCTCCAACCATTTGGGTTGGTCTAATAAAAGATATCAAATTCACCCAAGAAACCTTGTCTGCCTATGTCCTTAGACCAACACGGCTACAACCCAAACCTCAATAAGAGCAATACTGTGATCCAAGCTTTCCTTGACCAAAAGAGAAGGGCTCATTCTGCTTGATGACTCCTCATTGCAACAGAAGGAGATATATCAACTCCTCAAAGTCAAACCTCAAAGAAGAGTTTGGGAAATCAGTGGTGGCAAGATAAAGCTAAGGATGTCCAGATCTATGCTGACGAACATGACATGAATAGCTTTTTCTGGGCAATAAAGGCCATCTATGGCCTAGCTTATCACGATCCTACTTTGCTTGCTTGACACTCCTCAAAGATAATGAATCTATTCAAGTTAGGTGGAAACAGCACTTCGAGGCATACCTGAACCATGAGTTGACTGTGACACATAACACCATTGAGTTCATTCCCCAACACCCTGAAAAGGGATCCCTCACAAACCCTCCTATTCTAGAAGAAGTCTGGTGTATAATCAAAGAAACCAAGAACAAGGCTACTACACCAGATGGCATACCTGATGAAATATACAAAGCTGGCAGTGAGGAACTGGAACTAAGACTCGGTGGACTTCTTCAAATTTGGAACAACAGAGCTAGCCTGAGGAATGCTAACACCATGATGATCTTCAAGAAAGGAAATTAGTCTATATTGCATTCCCTTCTAGAGTGGGGAAAATCCTCCTGAAGCATTTTCTATCTCTTGCTGATGAAGAAGTCTCAGTATGGTTTCAGACCATCCCATGGGGCAGTGGTCATGATCTTTGTTGACCACCAGGTCCAAGAAAAGTGTTAAAAACACCAGGACCTGTATATGGCCTTCATTGATCTTACTACGGTCTTTGATTCCATTGAACATGAAACATTATGGAAAGTACAGGCTGGATGTCTGGAAAAGTACATCAAGGTCCTGAGGCTTCTCTCTGACCATATGACTGTGACCATTCTTATAGTGGATCAAGTCGAATTGAGTCAGGCACTGACTTTAATATAAGCTTATGTAATGCCAAGCACAATGGGACCCAACCTGTTTAAAGTGTTGAGGTGCTGTAACAGTGTAAATATTACCGTATTTACTTGACTCTAGGATGACTCTAAATATATGACAACTGCTGTAGTAATTAGATTCTATATATGGAAAATTTATAAGTGTCATAATTGTCAAGGTATAGAATCTAATTATTTGACGGCTGTCTTGAATTCATCATCCTTCTACTGCTACAGCAAGGAAAATTGTGGCTGGGAGGGTCAGGTGGCTGGAAAGAGTCAGGTGACCCTCTTGTCTTCTTCCGTTCCACTTCCATTCCCCAGGCATTCTTCCTGCCCCTCCCCCACATGCTCCAACCTCCAGATCCCCACAGTCTCTGCCCCTCCCACTCATACTCTCTGCAGTCTCTGCCTCTGCTGCCCTCCACCACTTAGTGTCAGACCCTGCTTAGGGTCAGGGCAAGTAGAGGAGGTACAGGAGACCCCCAGCCTAGACTCAGGACCAGAGTCAGAACCTCAACAGCTTCCTGTCCACCCCTCTCCTGCTTTATACAGCAAACCTTGTTAATTTGAAATACACCCACCATTTGGTTCTGGATTAATATAACTGATTTTTTTTTAAAGTAAACATACCCATAGTCATTTTCATATTACATTAATTTACATGCAAATTACTATTGATATCTGCAGAGTTAATTCATCCAGAATTGATCATTTTAACTTGTTGCAAACTGCTGCACGTTTAACCACAGGTATTCCATAAATTTTGGATGTTAAACTTCATTGTAGAACAACAAGGACTTTTTTTTTATTTCCTTGCCTGCCATCTGACATCTCCAGGGAAGGAATTCTACCTGATCAACACATCAAAGAGCTACTCAACACAGCTCACAAAGACACTCTCATGGACCCATCCTCATCAATAAGCGACTGTGGCATTGATGCCTATACAGTTGAATGGATAAAAAATTGGCTGATGGGGCACACCCAGAGAGTAGTGGTGGAAGGCTTGTACTCAACCTGGTGAGCTGTGAGCAGTGGGGTACCCCAGGGCTCGGTCCTTGGGCACACACTCTTTAACATCTTCATCAGCGACTTGGACATGGGGGTGGAAAGCACGCTGTCCAAGTTTGCTGATGACACTAAGATGTGGGACAAGGTGGACACACTTGAAGGGAGAGAGAGACTGCAAATAGATTTAGACAGACTACAAAAGTGGGCAGATGAGAATAGGAAGGGGTTCAACGTAGATAAACGCAGGGTGCTGCGCCTTGGGAGAAGGAATCCACAGCATACATACAGGCTGGGGAGTTCCCCTCTTGAAAGCACTGAGGTGGAATGGGATCTTGGAGTCATTATTGACTCCAAGATGAACATGAGCTGTCAATGCCAGACCGCAGCCAGCAAGGCCAGCCATCCTTGTCATGCATCCAAAGATGCATCTCAAACCGGTCCAGAGAGGTGATACTCCCCCTCTATGTATCTGCCCTAAATCATGTCCCATCATGGCATTATTATGGACATTCTCTTTGTCACATGTCTACACTCATGAGCCACCCTTCGAGCTTTCACACCCTCAGTCTCTTGCACAGACCTCTTCTGTGCCATGCACAGCCCATTTGAGTCTCTAGGCCCCTCGGTTCCTCATTCAGCCACTCTGGGATGCCAGACCACTTGGATCATTGCCTGACTCCTCTGCAGGCTGCCAGGTTCCTTGGTCCCTTACTTGGCCCCTTTCTGGGTCCTCAGACCTCTCAGCCTCTCAGTCAGCACTTCTCTGGGCTGCCAAACCCAGTGATCTCTTACATGGGGTAGCAGCAGCAGAGGAATCAGCAGTGAGGGCAGCAACAGCTGATCCCCTGAAGGTAAGTGGGGTGGAGGGACCCGGCACAGCTGAGCCGGATCCGGAGGGGAAGCCCCACGGGCCCTTGTAGCTGAACCGGTAGGGAGCCGTGCTCCCGAGCCGCGCGGAGCAAACAGAGCACGCAAACAGGGTGGGCTGGGGGCGGGGACTGTCCCCCCAGGCCAGGGAGCACCCCCGGGGTTAACCCTCAGGGAGCAGGCTCTGGCGGCACCGGATCCCCCTAGCGGGGGAGCGTAGGGGGCGGGACTGCTGGCAGGCACTGTAAGAGCGCACCGGCGTTTGCACAGGCATTCGAGCCGGCGGGCAAGCAGGAAGGGCCAGGAGGAGGACTCCTGTAAGGGCAGGGTGGACTCCTGTAAGGGTAGGGCGTAGACACCACACAGATCTAACAAACAGCAGCTTATACAATGGTGTCAATG